CCCCAAAACCCCAAAACCCCAAAACCCCACTCAGAAATATAAGATGAGCAATAAAATATTGATCTAATTAATATTATACTTAATTTCAATACATTAAAAGCTTAACAAATTTTAATTCTAAACATCATAATTAATCATAGAAATAACGTCATTATCTTAGCTAATTTCATAACAACGCCAATTCTTCATGAGCATGCTGCATAAACTTATTAATTAAGTATCTTGTTTACAGATTCTGCTTTTCGGAGGTTCTTCAAAGATTCTCTCAATATGTAATTTGTGTTTAGATAGTAGATGTCTTGAAAGTTAATTGACGATAAATCTATGAATCCCTCTCTCTAGAAGCATTCAAAGATCTCAGTATTTATGACTGCTATTTTTGATAGTTCTAGATAAATCTTCAGAGACTTTCTTTTGATGAAGTAGCTGTGGAACAAAGGAGAGTTCTCATCAAATAAACTTTACTTCAGTAGGATCAAGAACTAAGAATTATTAGATTCTACGAGCATCTATACTAGTTCTTAGTTCAGGATACATGAGTCTGCTATCTCTAATATGTTTTGATAAATGTATTATTCCACATAATGATGCAAGCGAGACTTTTGAGGATAGTTCTTATCTAAAAGCTCATATATTGAGAGCATAAAGCCTGCAATGTCCATCTCTACTAAATCTTGAAGTTGCAAGGTATCTGGCCTCAGTTTGATGTCTCTTATGAGATCTTTTAAGATTTGGATGTAGACAAAGATATCTTTTAGTTAAAGACCCTGTGGGAGACTGTAAACATCATTGCTAACGTCAATTTGTTTCTTCAAATGAGTAACCATTTTAATAATCATGTCATAGAAATCCCAAATATATTCCCATTGATGATTCTGAAGTTCATAGGCTCTGTACATATCCAGTATTGCAGTGAATTAATTATGATCTACTGCATCTTCATTTTCATTTATCAATTATTAGATATTCCAGAAGGTGTGAGAGAAAATGGCTTAGCTTTTCATTTGCAATCTATAGGATATTAGAGTCTTCATTTTATGATTGAAAGAATCTGCGATTTTTGCTATTAATTTTAGACACTCTAAGTAGTCCTTGAAACTGTCATCATTGAATTTAACTCTCTAAGAAACCCATTATAACGCTTTAATAATCTCCTGGTCATTCAATAAAGAGCTTATTTCCATCTTATTGAAAGCGAACTTCATTCTGGGTCCTCTCAACTTTTAAAAATTGATGCTTTTCTTGACATACTTAAGCATTGAGTTGATGATCTCAATGCTAACGATTAGATTTTCATTGTCATCGTCAATTAATTTAGTTGGAAATTTCCACCAGTCTCTAGGTTTGCTTAAATACAAAAAGTAGTAATTCTCCTTTTTTTCTAAACCAAATTAACAGATAATAATAATACCTCTTAGTCTGATAACAAGTTTTTTGTAATTGTCACATTCCAAAAGAAAGTCGTTGAACTCTAAGTATTCTTGTGAGTTTCTAACTTTGTCATTTTTGTCATCTAAAAATATCTCTAATTTCTCCCCTTTTCTGTTCTAAACAATTTATTCTTTTTATTTATCGTTGGCTATTTCAACAGTGGCAAAATGATCTGTTTAATTGGAATTCTCTGATATACTGATATTTTCTTTATCTTCTTCAGACAAACCATAACTACTAATACTTTAACTCTATGATGAAGACTTTTTCAATTAATTTGTCTGTTCTTGCTAGGTACTTTCATCAAAGTTTTCTTTATCTTCCATCATAAATTTCTATGTTTTTAATTCATATTCAAATTGATTGTTAGATTTTTACATCTAGGGGTTTTGGGGTTTTGGGGTTTTGGGG